TTTCAACTGCAGAAGTGTTGCATCCAATGCGAGGAACGTGTTAAACAACTTGGCTTCATTAGAAAGGTTAAGACCAGATTGCTGCAAGATACAATCTCCGAAATCTTTCTGCTTATTTTTCAGCGCCAACAACAGGCCTGTGAACTGACCTCATCAGGGAACAAGTACATCTGAAATGGCAAGTGTACCAAACCAAACCCACATGGTTGGCGGCATCCGGTTTCGGATTTACCACCTGTCACTGCGGCCAACCACAAGACGCCTGCGCCTACAGAGGGACCATGGATGGCTTGCGCTGCACCACCCGCAGATCCATCCACACACCTAACATCCAGTGTAAACTTAAAGGAAAAAGACCCGGGAGGCATGCGGATGTGAGCCATGTTTCATCAACGGAGCCGTCCCACTCACCTTCACAGGCAAACACAAGCACACTGTATTTGGGGAAGCAAGTGCACACATAGCGGTGGCTGGACCGTAGTCCGCTCCACACTCAGTGCCTGGAACCACTCTTCGAACCTATCCCAACCACAAGGACCGTACACCCCGTCCCCTCCAGCAACGCGGAACTTTCTCCTAGAGCCAGTATGGACGAGGTAGTGGGTAATAGTTAGGTAGGCACCTTGTTAAAATGCACAGCAAGCGCAGCCACACCTGGGATGTCAAGGAACAGCCAATCATTTGAAATGCCTATATCGATTAAAGTAAACGCATATGACGACATAAATACTCGCTAAATAAGCATATAGAAGCAAACGGTTATAAGTGAATCTGTGATAAGTACAAAATGTTCGAAAGTTAATTAAAACATACCACGCGATAAAATTACGCAAGTTTACCATAGTTTGCGTGAGCGACGTGTGTAAGTAAGGAGAAGATTATCAAGTACGCAGAGCAAACCAAATAACGTGTAACGAATTTTATCCACATTCAAAAGACCTAGTTTAAGTGTAAGTTGGTTAAGCCCAACTGGGGTGAGGAAGCATCATGAATGCAATATCCGCCTCAGCAAGGGTCACCAAACCCACATATATACAGTCACATAGTCATCTGTTCCCGGCCCGCTACCAGGGCAGAGCCGGGGTCACAAATGCGTCTTTCTGCACATAGATTTGGGCCAAATTTTTTGAAGGCCACGACCTTTGCGATATCGTGACACCATCCTGATGTTATAAATTCAAATTCTGTAGTACGCACCTTAACATATGCGGACAAGCATCACCGGAATTAAACCTTGCGGCTATCTTGTGTTAACCTTCATGATATATAGTTCCTGGGAAGCTATTTATTTCAATCTATCTTCAAGTTTCCATTCAAATTTCAAATGAGATTATCCATCTCCGTCTTTCTCCTAACGTTACTAATTACACACGTCACTTTCTAGACAAACTGGCTGACGCAGTTTTAGTCTAGACTGGTCGCCGAAGCTTCGGGAACAATATGCCACCAACTTGGATGTTCTCTATCTACGCTTACGTCCGTGACCCGCTTATTGTGTGATATAACATCCGCTGATAGCCGTGCGAGCAAACTTCTTGGTCAAATATTAAATGCAGAATTATTTTAAAACAATCAACACAATACTTTGCATTTCTGTCCATATCGCTGTTAACATTTTACTAATCCCCTATATCTTGCACTGGTTTATATTTATCCATCTTCAACTTATCTTGCATCAAAATTTCTTGAAATTTTTATTTCAGCTCTGTCCGGATTGCTGACCGCAAAGATAATGAATGCATCTAGAACTGTGTTCGCGGGTACTGAAACAAAGGTTGGTGAGATTAAATACATGTGCCTTCCTTAATTGAGTTATCTTTGCGCTTAGCGCCATTGTAAATTTTGGTGTAAACTTTAGGCAGATTACAATAAATGGCATTCTTTATTTATTCATTGAGGATTATTTTGTTACCGCTTACAATATTCATTATGACGCAGTTAATTTCAAAGCGTATTATAGTCAAACTTTTGACATTTGCTTCTGACCAAATCCTTGACAGTCTTCATGGCCGTTTCTGTTTCTTTTTCTTAGAGCAGGAATATACTGATAGCATTGGCTGAAACATGAACAACCGTTTTGATTTGGTTGACTGTGACTGTAGCAAGTAATTATCATTAATGTACGTCACCGACAAGTTATGGAGTCTAACTTTTGAAATGAACGAAATTTAAGTACAAATTACCATATTCTTCTGATTTAGACCACCAACTTTGGGCTGGTCAAGCCAGCCGCATTTCAACTCATTGTGCCATATTACAGTATAGTTATCTGTGTGATATCCTTGGGATATTATTTTTCATTTGTTCTAACATTTGTGTTAAACTCATTGCATCAAAAAAACAGCTGTAATAAACTATAGCTTCCATACGATATCTATCTAGAAAAAGCAAGGCGAAAATTATTATGCTTGGCACTGAGACTCTTAGCTAGCAGAATGCTTGGCAGCTGATATACAGTTTCCATAACATGAAATAACAAACAACTGAAGGTGTTTTGTAGTTTTAGCCATATCCCTAAGTTTTACGTATAATATGTCGTTGATTGTACACGAAAAATCTCTTTTGATTTACATATAAAACTGACACGATTACTTGGCATTATGACATCATTATTTGTAATGTGATGGTCTTTTTGCTTCAATTGCACCCGCAGTTCTGACTCGATATTGTCAAAGGCATACTTATTTTCGCAGCCTAGATAGGCAGTTTATTGTAGGTGCTTGATAAAGGGATTATAACTCGGTCTTTACAATGTATTATTTACAATTGGATTCTGGAACCAACGTTGCACACAGAAATGTTGCTGACTCAAAATTGATTTCTACGCAAACCGATGAAGAAGTACACGACTTTCACTGCAATAAATCAAAGGTTTTGACAAGTTAAATCGCAAGTAAATCAAGAGCATTTCTGGAACTTCCGTTTGCAACGGTGAACTGAATAAACTCTTGCATCGACTTTTATTGTATGGGCCATAAACGAAGAGGGACAGGGGTAGGACTTTTTATAAACCATGAAATCAACCGACACAGAGCAACGGCTGAACAACGAGCAGAGTAGCAGTTGTAACAAGATTCTTTAAGCACCATTTCAGCCGGACCAACAAAATTTCAGGTTACCTTCTTACATCGCAGCTAGGTTCCCATCAGACAACACAGGTTACTCTTCTATCCACGAGTGCGCACTCGTAGCCTATCCGTCGCTAGGAGATATTAAATGATATATGAAGGACTGCCCTGTAGCCGACGGCATATATCTCTGGATTTAATTAAAGCTTAATGCAATTTTACAGGCTGGTTATTATTACACACTGATGACATTACCTTGAATGGTGATGAAACGTTTGCATCCGAATTTCGAAGCTCGGCGAAAAGTCAAACATTGAATCTAGGTTGATGTTGTGCTGACTAACCTGCATACTATTTTCGCAGAATTAATTTAAATATATGGCTTTTTTGATATTTCCTGACACAGATCAATATAAACAGATAAATTTGCAAAACTAATTAGATTACCTCTCCAGTTATTATCAGCTTCTTAATTGTACTGTTATCGTACACCTTTTACATTTAAAGAGCCGTAGTTAAATATTCGTACCCGTGCCGATTTTATATTTGTGTTTGGGTCAATCATAACCTTGCTTATCTTCTAGCTATTAAGTTAAATATTGAATACTGATTGCAGACTTTCACCCTAGTGATGTTAATTATGTTATGGGACAACTGGCTGATAATCTGAGTGACTCCAGTAACGAAATGTACATGAACCACAAGGATCATTAAGCATATAAGGAAGAAACGTTCATAATTTTACCATGCTGGATAAAAACTGTGGTTGGAAATGTGGACAGCGAAGCTCCCGGCACGCATAGTTGTGTACAGGTATAAGGTTACCCTGTCTATGTAATCATGATGACATGCGAAACAGAATGGTAGACAATTAAGTAACATGTGAATGTGTACTAAAGCTCCCACAAACGAAACCTAGTCCGTTCCTAGTCATGTTACGCATCTCTCTCTGCTACATCAAGCTCACCCTTTTTGACCTATTGTGATAAGCTTGATTTACAGGCGAATTTGATTTATTACATCCATTTTATTTACGGCGTCCGCCCAAAGTTTTAGTGGAATGCTCCACACTAAGGAAGGAGACAATTCCGGAGGAAATATCCGCTTGATTTCTCTGCAAAATACTAGCCGAATTTGCTTGCAATTGCTGAAAAACCAGTTTAACATAACAGTTCTATAGGAAATCTGTGCTTGTTGATCGGACCAGATTACCTAGAGGGTGTATTTTTTCTGATGAATATATATATTTTTATTATATTGTAACTTTTTTACCCAGTCATAAATTTTGCCTTTTTTGTCCAGTGTGTTTCCTACAGAAGAACCGTGCTTATTACGAGATTAATTCCAAACACGTGATGTGCAACCCGAATAAACTTCGCCTTCTGAGTTAGAGGCACAGAGCTTTCTTACCGGTTGTTTGCCATTCCAAAATCAGAGTTGGAGTTGGCATTTTTCAACTATAACGAACAACGATAGTAATTATTGACTAAGCACTCATTATCCTCCCATTCTTCCTTCTACATATTAGATTTTTATTTCGACAGATAATGGGATTATCGTGGGCTGCTTTTGGAAGGTAATTTATGCATCGGTAATGCGTAAGACGAATCGGAGCAGACAGGTAAATATCAGTATATATATTCCCAAGTAGAAGCTTACCAACGCAATGCAACCTGTCAGCAATCTACGCTTTTAAGTCAATAAACTATTCAGATTGGGTAGCCGATGTTTTTCCATCATACTGGCAGAAATTGAGTAGAAGTTTTTCTCAAACCACGGCATGCGATTGAGGTTTGAAAATTTCGAATTTGGCTTTATCTCGTCAGTCACGTCCGCCAAGTGGCTTGGAACGAATTAGTTAGGTATATGACAAGATCACATGGAGACAAAACGAGGTCTGCTAGAGAGCGAGTACAGTGAGTACGTAAACCACAAAGTCAATGGCCCCGGCGTTTTCGCACCTCGCATTGGAGCCATGTATCCGCCTACACTCCACGAACTTTGGACAGGAAGGTAAGCTTAATTACAACCACCAGTACGCATCGCAGCATTATCTCAAGAATGTGCACACAGGCAGTGATCAGATACCTGTTTCTACTTTTTCTCACGTTGGTCAAAACGTTCATCGCTGGGAATTCCGAACAAAATGAGATCGGTAAGTACCCTCCAAAGATTTAGAAGCAGAAAAGGACTAGGAAACTGTCATTCGTTCCTCCAACGATATCCCAGACGTCATTGTGTTTTGAAATGCTTTAAATTATATGGTTAGCTATTATTATGTTTAAATGGCGAGGAAAGACTTTGACCAGTATAATTCACACTATAAGAAATACCGCTTCATAAATCTTAGCTACACATTAGATGCTACTGGACTATTACATTATTAACCATGTTGCAAATCTAGTTAATGCAAACGGTGAACGTTTATCCAATCCACTGTTACACTATATGCAAAGGTAAAAATATTTGTGTGCTGCAAGAAGAGATTCCATAGACTGCAATCGCACGCCATCAATTGGTCAGCTACACACATTGCCTTGTGCACAACTCAAAGCACAGTTTTATCGTTTTCTTCTTGCAAAGCTAGGTTCAAAGACCAAAACGTAAAGCTCTTAGCAGGAATACAAATTTTAAGCGTCAGTTGCCTTTTCATGTATCTCTCAGTATTACCCTGCATTCAAGCTGGCTCTTCTGTGATGATGAGCTTGCCAGGAAAATGACGTGAAATCGAGGCAGATGAGGGCGAGAACATTAGAAGTGTTTGCGTTCGACACCAACAGTGCTGATTGCTGAAGCATTGGAAACTGCCAAATCTATCATTTGCTTAAAAGTAATGCACGGGTCGAAACTATCTGCTGTGTTGCGGCCGTCTTAATGTCGCCAGTCTAGAAGCGTAGGCGGATATATCTGAGCCAGAGAATAAGCATTAAACCACCCGTAACCGCATTACCCGTACTGAATTACGTGTGGTGACAAAGTGCCGTGAAACACTTATGAGCTTATCAATCTTAATGTTTCATTGTAAATGAGTCCTTAAACAATAGCATATAACACGCCCACTTAAATTTCGGTTGTCGCGATTACTATTCCAGTTTGCTATAAATGCTGCTTCAATCACCAGATAGTTCACTTGACCCGATGAAAGTTTTTTATCAAAAACGAAACATTACCCTTAAAACAATATTCTCGCTTTTCCGAGAATTGCTTTTCCGGCATAATCAGGATGTCACAATCATGTTGATAAAGTCATGGAAATCGCGTTCACAGGACACGACTTAGAAGGTGTGGATCTGCTTCCAGGAGAACGACTTCTTCACTTAGAGTATCCTAATGATATTGCCCTGATCTGTGACAGCTCACAAACGGGCCAAACGGCACTGGACAGATTAGCACTAGCTGTCCGTCACTTCGGGCATTGCTTCGCACCCTCGATGTGCAAAGCGTTCCTCACAGATTGGTCTGGAACGCCTCTTACGCCGACCGTTGGTGGGGATCAGCTATACCTGGAAGTTGTATCAGCGCCCGTGGGATTGAAGATGAAATCACGAATCGTATAGCAAAAGCTCAGGGCGCTTTTGCTAACCTTCGCCACTTATGGCGCCGGCGCGACATCACTCTTGCCCTGAAGGGTAGAGTGTACAATGCAGCGGTACGTTCGACCCTATTGTACGGTTGTGAAACCTGGCTGCTTAAAGCAGCTGACCTGAAGTGGCTATTTACGTCCGACCACCGGCGCCTTCGCAGTTTGGCTCACACCTGGTGGGAACACCGCGTGAGCAACGAGCGTGTACGAAGCCCCGTTTACGGCACAGGAAAAGGAACTGAACCGCTCAGCACCGTTATTTCACGCATCAGCCTCCGATGGCTCGGCCACGTGTTACGCATGCCAACCCTCCGACTCCCGCGACGTGTGTTGTTTGCTCACCGGGGATGTGGGTGGAAGAAGAGGAGAGGTGGTCAAGTGATGACTTGGTCCAGGGGAATGATGTCCCTCACTTCTGAGCTGGCCTCGGTTGGAGCGTCTCGGCTCCCTGGTTGGGGTCCGAAAGCGGATGAACACGTTTGGTTGGACACACTTGCGGATATGGCTAGGAGCCGACCTCAGTGGCGTTCGTGCTGTGAGTTTCTTTGTCCCACCCCATTCCGCTTAGCCTCCCCCCCCAACCACGATCTCATTATTTAGCCTTATATAATTTTGCATAGTAATTCTTTTTGGTGCACAGCAGCCAGCTGGTAGCTTACCGGAACGATGCCCATCCGTTACCGGTAGCTCAGCCAGCTTGCACCAGTTGCCTTTTTTCTCCTTTTTTCTATGTATTGCGGCACAGTAGCTGAGGTGTTCCCCACCTCTAGCTAACGTGTATGATGATGATGATGATCGAAAACACAGTAAGTGACACATGCAACAAAACAGTGAAATGACTGTAGCAAGGCTTAACGAGAAAAAGGAACAGTCTCAATTGAAGTAATACGGTCATTTACAGAACCGTCTCCTAAGGACCTGCTTCCCCGTTGATTAGTTCCACTTAGGATTTGACCCGCAATTTCACTCCGATCCGGCTGAGTACCGGTGTGACATAAAAACGTGCAAGCCATCACCGATTTCATTCATCTCTTAGGCCATTTTTATACTCGATTAGGAGGAACTCTTCAGTCCAATCTGGCCACTTTCAGGTATGATCTAGATGCATACAGGTAAGGCAGTTTCAAATTTGTTTGTTAGTTTCTTTGGCTATTTGTACTCAGTTGTGTTGGTCACTTTAGCCATTTGGCCCATTTGACTCTTCTGAGTAGCGCAATTTCTTTTTTAATCCCATTGCATTTGCAGGCAGTCCACCTTGCGTGGTCATATTGATCGTCTTAGAAGCTTCACTGTGTCACCTAACGGTAAATACAAATTTGCAACCAATGATGAAATATGAGTAAAGTAAAAGAATAAATAATAAAACGTATATAGATCCTGATAGCAACAACCATGAATTCTTGGAGGTATTCCATTGGTGGCCACTGGTATATAGTATGATGCACCATAATTGACATGCCGCCAAGGTAACTCCAAATGCAGACGCTAAAAGTACAAGAGTACATACGTATACTTCTGGCATGTGGAAAACAGGGAAGAAGGAAACGTGTTTTTGTTTTGTCCCACTGAAACGAATAATGTATGTTCCACCGATAGGGCGTGTTGATTATGTGGAAGGGAACGACCCTAGTGCTTTCTTCCATCCGAATAACAATGCTAGGAAGAGACGTAAAACTATGCAGCGCCGGTGGAGGATTGAACGATACGGAAAGACAGGAGGGAGAAGAGTGCGAAAGATGGATGGTTAAATATTATAAGGTCCGCATTCATATCTATACACGTTCGGTCAGTGACGGCAAAATAAGTTTTTGATTTTTGTTGCGTTAGGTAGTTGTTTCGTGGTGTTGTATATGCCTAATGGAACTTGAGCTCCTAATTCCTTGGGACTATCTACTCCATAGTAGTGGGTATACAATTATAATGTAGTTGCAGCGTGCTCTTGCGCGATAGCGGCGTGCAGTTGTTACATATTCTCTTTCTCAGGTTATATGGTGAACATTCTTGGAAATCCGGTTCATAAAGTTTTCATGTGTCTATCGATGGGCGATACTGTAATGCAGATAGATTTAGTCTTAATCTTTAAGGCACAATAGCTCGCGATTTAGCAGATTACATCTAGCTACGTAAGATAGGGTAGATGTGGAAATCACGGGACTTTTAGTAAAGGAGCCCTGTGTTGCTTCAATTTCTAGTTTAGCACATTATCTTACGCTGCGGTTGATTTTGCAGTATTCTAAAATAGGTATGACATAAACGCTGAAAGCCAGGAGTTTATCATCAGTTGTTCCTAATGGACGACGCAAAACTCTAATAGTTTGTAGTGCTTCGACCACTATACGCCTAATATGTTTATCAAAATTATGCCTAGGGTAGTAACCTGTCAACAAATCGCAGATAAATTCACGTATGAGAAGTAATAGATTGTGCAGAATAAGAATTCCCATGCTACACAGCACCCGTAAAATATGACGGTACACTTACTTATCGAAAAACATTGCGGAACTGGAACACTGCTCTACCAGACAGATCAAGTAGTTTTGTAGTTCAGAAAGAAAAATAGAGCTTCGTGGTTCAGCAGGATATACAATTTCGATACCACAGGATAACAGTTAATATCTACGTTATTTGATTAAACGAAAAACTCCTTTATGTATGTCAGGAAAAGAATAGATCCGAGTACGCCGCCTTGTACTACGCCAATAATTATATTCCAGGTACCTGATGAGCGATAGCCTATCCTGACAAAGTGTTTCTCACCATTGATATGTGAATCAATTAAAGCCAACAGTGAGCTTTTATACCATTGTTAAGAAGCATCTGAATAAGGGTTTTTGTGGAACTTAGTCAATTGCCTTGTTACTATCCAGTTAAACTACAAAACAAAGCTTGCCGGAGTAAATCAATTTGTTTGTTAAATTTTACCTCCAGATCACAGTTTTAAAATATGACAACTGTAAGCAAGCTTAAATATAACTCTACTCGCTTACACATTTAAAAGTTCTTTCGCAATCTGAAGGTATCTTTCAACATTTCTTTAACGTTTTAGCGGAAGGTGATACGCGGGTTACTCTTTTGGTAACTAATAAGCGGCGAATATGCATTAGGTTCCGATATTCTTGTTAGCCAAACATGGGAATCCTACCATATTCGACCTCCCATTCATCGTTTAATGGAAGTCAAAGCAGGGAAAAAAGCGTCTTCAACTGTAATCAATGTTGAGCATTAGAGGGAAGTGTAAAATTGGTGGGCCTACTTGGTTGCTGATTTGTTTTCCTTTGTGGATTTTGTAGTATGTATTTCCCGTCGTATAGGGCTCTGTTTTCCCTCCAAGCATCTGTGTTTTGATTTTCACGCAGGTAACAATTGCTAGAACTAAAAGCATCTTACCATGGAAAAACATTGCAGTTTACTGGTGTGCTATATTTATCCTTGTCAACTATTTGTGCATTGCTTTATTCCATTTTCCCTTCTGATAATTTTTACCTCATTTTCGTCAGTTTATTGTCAGAAGTGCAACTACCAGGTGTATAACATACAATGCGCAAGCGTTTTTGTCTACCGTGCAATTAAACCATACCAAATCTGAAGGATATGAGTACTGATTGGAAGTGAAATATTGTTGATCTGCGTTTGATTAAACCTGTACTAGCAATGTTGGAGCAGAATAACATATTGTGTAAAGTTGCCTTTAAACTACCTAGAAATAAATTCTTGTAAATTACTTCAGAACAAGACGCTGATTATGTCACAACCTATTATTTAGCATTAAATTCATTAACAAATGAATCATGCCGAAAACATATCCATACTTTATTTTGAATGAAATTGAGTTAGATGAAATCGGCAATCACCACCAGTTAGGAAAATACTGCAATTCATTTCGCCTGATTATGATGTTCATGCCGCCAATTTCTTTTTACAGGCACATTCTGGCATATCACCGATTTTCATGTCAATACGACATATATTATAAAAAATACAACAGGCTATTTCGGTGACTATGGACGGGACACAAGCACACTTGTTGCTTTCACTGGAATTGAATTCGCTAATGATATGGGCTACGCAGAAAATAAGCCGGATTTTGTAGTATGGGGAGGGTAAGCATGATCATACTTTTAATTCGTTTGCCGTACACCTTGTATTCTATCTGAATTTCAATGTGAAATGACACAAAGATACCTGGGGTTTGAGGTCAAACTATCTAAAATACCAAGCCTCACAACAGTTGATTACTTGTTCATCGTATGAAAAGGGAACCGGCGGAATCATATCTTTGTGGTAGCACGTTGTTATATTAACCGCCTCCTTCGCCTATAGTCTGCTTGATTCTCGAAGCATTTGGTATATTTTGTGCTACAGATGATTCTGTTTACTAATCAGTCGCCTCAAGATATTAGCAATAGACAGAAAGCCAAGCTTCACATCAATTTTGCAGTAGAAACTGCTAGTGGGCGTAAATATTTTTTATTATATGGCTTCCTTATACTGGCAACACAAAAAACAGTTTATGTGATATGTCGTCCTAAATATCAAACATTAATTTGTGTCAGATAAAAAAGGGATTTATATGCAACTAAACGTTATGCTCACTAACTTGTGAAACGATACAAGTTAGGTGTTTAAATGTTAATTTTTACTCCCAGTTGCTAGCGCTTCGACACAAACAGAAAAGACAACTCAGGCGATCATACACTATCGACTATTATAAACAGGTGGTAGCGCAAATCCGGAGCTACATATCATCCCTTTGACGTTGATGGTTGCTCATTTACATATCTTTGCAGTATATTTTCGTGACTGATAAGAAAGCACGAAAGGGCGACGTTATGTCACAATCTACGTCTTCTGGTTTTCTTGTGTCGAGACAAATATTTGTTGGGTTCCATCTAACTTTGAGCTGTCACACAAGCGGACTAATGACGTTCCCTGCACAACTGCAAAATGCTGCAATAATAAAATATCTTATTCAACTGCATTAGGCTCCTTTAATCCATGATTCGCAAAGTATGCGCTGGGAATTCCTTGAATTCCGACACTCATTTCGTCGTGTTTATCGTCCGTGGCAATCTGCAACATCATTCCACCATTCGAATCTCGAAGTAAACAAAATGAGCCACGAGCTACAGAACCGATTTTGCAAACTTTTACAGGTTCCTAAGTGCACACTTTGATGTCCATATGTGCATCTGTGTCCATAGCATGAAAAAGTCATTGATATGATTCTGTGGCTAACTCTAAAACACCGCTAGGACAGTTGTTCAGCCCTAGCCTCCTGCGTCGGCCTCCGTACTACATGACCCGTGGATTAGACCAAGACTTGACATTTACGTGCTGGACTAGACGGAGCGTTCACACTTGTATGCGGATGATTGCACTGTAGACCGATGACAATCTATTTGAGTTATAACCATTTGAAACTAATTACAAGACTACGTTTGAGCGTTCAAAGCTTGCGCTGTTTAGAAGGATTACGGTGTAGCTCTCGTCATATTTTGTCCTAGTTTGGACGCACCAGGCAGTGATAGCCGAAAATGGAACAAAGTACCTTTTGATTAACGGCTGATGCATTGATCCCTAGATCAAGAATATCCTGAACGGGGAATGGCACAGTGGTTTTAAAATGCAAACTTGAGCATTGAAATGGCCACCATGCGGTTGAAGTGCTACGCACAAATTCCATTCAGGCCTAGGTATGGTTGGAAGCAGACCGCGGTCATTTCGAGCCCTAGGGTCGTATTCAAAATGGATAGCTTTCCGTGTTAATTCACCCCAACACCGTAGCGCATGCGCTGTAAGCAAACATCGAATCTTTAAAACAAATCAGCTAATGGAAGAAGTTTAAGTCAAATCCCTACGCTTCATGAGAACTCACTGCGATGTGCTACATAACCAATCACCAAATGCTTGTCAAATGACATAAGACAAATTTGCTTACGCTTGTGACTAACAGGGTTATCGGAGCGAATAGCTTAACTCGTTCTGCTATATCTCTATATCCCTTAAGAACTGCCTTTTAAGCACCAATATGACCACTCCGCTCGCATCATGGGTAACTGCCGGTAAAATATACATTTTGTTAGCATTTTGGACAATGTATATGTAAACGGGCTGGAAAACATTAAAAAAACAAGGATTTATGTTTTCGTAGATTTGGCTTGTCACAGCATTTAAAAGCCTTAGGGCTTCAAGTAAAACTTGTGCTGCAGTGTTCATCGCTAAAAGTAGCTTATCCGAACAAATGTTAGCGAACAAGCTCGTTTTCAGTAGTTCCTCATCAGGCTAAAACACCACAACTGACGGACACAAACGTGAAATTCAGAAAAGGGTACAGTTTCTAAAACCCAGCTGATCTGCGTGACCAAGCTAGAGGATGGAACCCGCGGCGATCAAGTTTGTTTGTGTGTATGTGTGGCGTTGTCCGCACTGTGTCCGTGTTACAGCGGACCAGGGTAGCGTTAGTGCCTGGACAAATTTATTGTGCGCACATAGGTCAGGGTCAGGAAGTCTGATGGCTATTGCCTTGGCCGCTGCCAGTGGACGACATCTAACCGCTCTTATGTGGCATCTAGGTACTCGGTAGATGGGCTGGAACGCACCATGCGCTCTGACGTGGTGGCTCGAGTCGACCAGCCGCTATACAGCCAATCTGGACAGTGTTCTCTGGTTCTCTCGGACAGTCGCCCGGTAGTTCTCTGGATATACTTTGATCAACAGGAGCGAAAGAAAGAGTATACACAGAAATATGTACTTGACTTGGGATTCTGTCCATGAATTGTTTATTCAGGGTCTGCACTGAGTAGAAGCTTAGCCGTAGGCTCGCTGCACCGTGGGTATGAGCAACGGAGTCAGAAAGCCTTCTAGACGTCAATTCAGTCGCTTCGTCCCTTTAAAAGGTAACGACAAGTAGATCGGTTTTTCTCCTATCGAAACCACTTTTACTTTGGCTTCTCGTACTTCCACGTTGATCCGAACGAACCACCCCGGATATGCATTTCTATAGAATGGGTTTCGTACAAACTTTAGCTCGTCCGGATGCATATCCTCGTTATCCATCGTTCTTGCTCGCTCGGTTAGGCATCGAACAAAGTTCCGTTTCTGGTTCAGCGGAACGCAATTGGCAAAATGAGTATATTACCCGTTCCACGTTGTCTTTCTATGAACACTGTGCTGGACACATTTGTCAGATCTTCGGCTAATATGAACGTCTAAGTACGGCATTTTATCGTTGCACTCAGATTGAAGGGTGAATTTATGTTTGCGTGGACTGAGTTAATTTGCGTCCTTAATTCTTCGGTGCAAAAATGTCTGTCTGATGTAGCGGTCGAGGCAATAGCCATCAGACTTCATGACCCTGACCTATTTGCGGACAAGAAATTTCTCCGGACACTAACGCTACCCTGGTCCCCTGTAACACGGACACAGTGTGGACACGCCACACATACACACAAACATACTTGTTCTCATGGGGCCAATCACCTAACTTGGTCACTCAGATCATCTGGGTTTTAGAACCTATACCCTTACCTTATGTTAACCTCCATGTCACTCATTTGTAGTGTATTAGCCAGGTGGGGAACCACTGGAAACGAGATTGTTCGCTAACGTTTGTTCTGATAACCTCCCGGAGTATTTTGTCAGTTGAAAAGTACGTTAATTCATTTTAGCAGAAAGTGAGCTGTTCGCCACGTCTTATAAAGTACTAAAAATTTTCATCTTATTCATTGAAGGAAAGCAACTTTTGAAAGACATTTACGTGTTTAGAACAAATTGGAAAAACCTGCGTCTGGATTACATTTGCTTTTATTTTACGAGATAATTTGTCCTCTTCAGATTGCTTTTGTTAACTTTGCCAACCAAGATCGGTTTAGTTATGTGCAGTGGATTATTTCTCTATGCCTTTATACACCAAAACAATAACAGTATTACTAACAATCATAACAGTATTGAGCTAACTAGTGAGAAATGGATGTTACAGCTTCGGCTAGTTATTACCATAACACGCTAACGACTCGCTACATTTACCGGGTTGACGTCTTGCCGTTTGCAGCAGATTACCTAGTCGTTGTGGATGTGTTGATAGGGCCAACGTTTAACGGCGAATCAAAGCTTCGGAGTCTTCCATGATACAAAGCTACATTATTTACACTTGTTGTATTATCTTTTATTTCCATTCTTCGTTTCCGTTGTGAAAATCATTAGGGACGCTGCACCGCATGATCAAAGGCAGACCAAGGAAGATGTGCTCGAGAGTCTGCGGTTTCTGTCGCAGCATCTTCGATACGCTTTTGATCCAACGGAAGTGCCACTTATACCGATAATTGGAAATTACGATGTTTTCCCATCAAACACAATGAGCCCATTGACGGAATCTCGTCAGAGAGCCAGTTGGTGCACCCGGCTGTCTATTGACGAAAATCTTTGGTTTGCCTGGAACGAATACATAAAAGAAATGCGGGAGATACATCCCGACATTCCAAGTTTCGATTTTTCTACAAGTAAGTTCAATGTATGCTATTCGGGCGATACTTCTAATTACACCACTGTTGGTAATGCCGGTGAAAGAACTACCCATTCATGAATTTGTTTTATTGCGTCGATAGTATTAGGTAAATGGCGATATTGTATGTAAGTAACGGCAATTGGCAAGGCTAGATGAATCTAAAGTGATTCCTACCTGCAGTGGATGAAAGGAATATAGTGTATTCTTCCGAGTTTAGTGGTTCAAATGGACGGTCTTCGGATATGTATTTTTTTAAATTGGGCTTTAAAGAAATTAACCACCGCTAGTCGTTGCGGCTGGTTAAACAACATGGTGATGAGAGTAGTACTTTGACAGATAACACATGGCAGTTTGGTTTAAGTCACGCGTCGCTTGACACAACTTACCACCGACAACATAGTTTAGATGAACTTACATCCGGTCCGCTTCCGAAGACACAGTAGATAGTTGCGTTACGGCAGATATGTTAGGAAATAACGTGGTGCGGCGCCAATCATGAATTTTCAGACCTAAATTTTAGTAAGTGTAGGACAGCCCCAGGACTTCTGCACATACACGGGGACCATGGGTCGCATGCTATCAACCAAACATAGCCACGTCTTCACACCCCATATCCAGTGAAAACCAGAGGGAAGAAGGCAGGGATCATATGGGATCCCAAATGATCATGTTTCACAGGCCCACATACAATCAAGAGTCCCTTTCTCCCAAACTGAATAATGACGCTCAGCAACTGAGAGCTCCAGGGATAAGTGAGCAGCGAACTTTTATTTGTTTTGCAGCTGTGACAGAACAGCACCGAGACTAACATCTGACCATTCAGTCAACACAAAAGCACTGCATGATTCATCAAAATAGGGACCAAGGAAACAGACGCAACTCCTTATTCAGTTCACTGAAATCCATTTACTGATGGCTTCCTCAAATGAACGACGCTCCCTCGTTGAACCAGTTATTTTCCTATTGCAATTTGAAAAGCGCAGGCATTCCATATTGTCTCATCAGTGCCTTCAACAATAACTCGCAATAATATTTATTCAGAGAGGGGTGTGACCAAACATTGTTGGCGGCGTCAGGTTTTCACTGTGACCTCCATCCGCCAACCACAGGACAACTGCGCCTGTAGAGTGACCATGGGTGGCTCGCGCATCTAACGCACAGCTCTATCCACATACCCCATATGCAGTGTATACCCGTGGTAATAAGACCAGGAGGCGTGCGGATGGGAGCCAAGGATAATCAACGGAGGCGGCCAAAACTGCTTCACAGGAAAAACAAGAACGCTGATTTTATGAAATCAAGCTCACATAAGGCGCTGACTGCACGGTAGTCCGCTCTGCACTGAGTGCATGGCACCACACTTCGAGCTTAGCACGCTCACGAGAACAGTGCACCCCGTCTAACCAAGCAACGGTACACAGTCTCCTGAAGCCAGTAATTGCGATGGATGGTGTTAAAATCGTGGACACATTGTCAATATACGCATCACGCGCAGCCACACCGGGGACATAAAAATACAGCCAATCACTTGAAATGACAACGTCAACTAATAGTTATGGAATACTTCAAACGGATAAACCGATTTAACTCTGCTAAATGAGAACAAAATAATTTCTTTATCAACAAATCCGCGATAAGTTCAACTTGTCAGGAAAAGATCATTTTAAAAATGTTACAAACAGGAAAAAATGAAAAACCTAATCACAGTCTGCCTAAGCAACATGTGTAATTATAAAGAAGCTTATTCAGACAGACTTCTAATTTACTTAACAAAGTAAGCATTAACAAAATGCTGAAGACCAATCACCTGAGATTAAGAAACTCAGCACGCAAGCAAGCCGTTAATAGATCGAATGCTGTATATCTACCGATGCTGCGCCGGATCTGCTTACGATCGCACCAGGGTGCTTCGTCATTTCGATGTTGGACCTGAGTGGCCGTGCCCAAGGCTCAGTAGACCTGCCTGACACAGGCAATCGCGACGCCATGTGCTACAACACCATGCACTCTAGTTCACTAGTGTACAACCCAACAGCTTCTGTCGCTTTCGCAGCTGCAGCATCTTCTCCGCATACATGAGGAATTTCTCCAGCACCTCGGCAACTGCCTTCGTGATCAGATCGTGCATACAAGCTGATCGACCGTCTTCGTTTTCCATGACCTGAAATCAAACTCAGAAAGTCATAGTCTCAAGTGATAATATCCTGCTAACGAAGTTTTGGTTTCCTCACATGCAGCTGTCCACAACGCAGTTGACCATATAATAACTGCTTCGGTACCCGTGTAGAAAACCTACGCCACACCTGACCAAGACAATTCAAGTATCACAGCAAAAGTGTGCAGTCAATTGCATGCATTCCACGTCGGCACAACATAGCGTCTATAACTCTGTCGTACTAACTGATGCCCACACTGTTAATGAAACCGCACGAGATATCTCAAACCTACATGGTGAGTCGTCCCCGTTTCGCGGCCGTATGGTAGAAGGGACAGAACAGCTTTGAGCTGACGGTAAACTATTGGTCATTCCACGCTCGGTACTCAAGCTACCCGAAAGCTTCCGCTACCTTCGATACTCGGATGCGTAACTCAAGTGTATCTTTAACAACGTAGCAGAAGTGGAAAATGGAATCCAACACTTCGTCACTAATGCTGTTTTGAGACAATATTGCAGATTACATCATACATAAAGACTGAAAGAGACAGGCTGGTTTGTTCGCGTTGGTGGTGAGACAGAACATGAGGGCTGCCGAAGCCAGCGCATTAGTTATGTGCTGCATCTCATCCGCGCGAAGTGAAAACAAAGCACAATCCTCACCATACAACAATATACAGACAGTTACCTCACATATCTAGGATCTACTAAAGTAAAGATAGATAAGAATCAAAAGACAGTTACGCGAAGAAGCTTGTTTTCCATGGTTCACATCAGGCCAATACACCACAGATAATAGGAATAAAACAAACACAGTGTATTTAAATACGATGAATCAATGAAGTACATTGACCTGTCAATGAGATCAACTGACGGCACTGGCTTGAGCATCATTAGTGGAACGGTCAAGCGTGGTGTCATAACACGTGAACGCTTTAGGCCATGGCAGCTGTAGAGCCTGTACGAACCTCTTTTGAGCACATAAGTCGTGGTTATGGAGCCGAATAGCGATTGCTAACGCTATCGCCAATAGGCGACATCGGAGGGCTCACGTGTGGCGTTCAGATATCTTGTAGATAGGCCGGAAGGCCTCTCGCACATTCATTTGGTGATTTGTGTCGGCCAAATGCCCCAGCACCGCGCTGACTACTGTCTTTCTGACACCAGTGTAGAGCCACGCCGGGCAATGCTCTCGGACTCTCTCAGACAGTCTCCTGGTCGTCTTTCCAATATCATTTGCTCGACACGAGCAAGAAAAATGGTGCGCACAGAAGGATATATTCCACCTCCGTAGTCTGTCCTTGAGATACTGACTCACGACTGGCGTAGAAGTGAAGCTGACACGGAGGTCAGCTGCAAAGTAGGTTCTCGCTGTTTCATTGCAGTGTCTTCGAGTAGTTCGTTCCGCTATCACACCAACCTTGAAAGGCAGTGATAAGTAGATTAAGCCCTTTTCTGCGGTGATTGGTTGGACTTTTGGTGCTCATGGCTCGATGTCTCTCCGGATGAATTATTCCGGATAACCATTTTGTTCGAGAACGCTTTGAATGAAACTCAATTCATCTGACAGCGAATCTTCTGTGCATATTCTCCTCGCTCTTTCCGTTAGACAACGGACAAGGTTGCGTTCTTGACTCGCTGGAACGAAACTGGCGAAAATGGGTATACTGGCCGGTCCAAGTCATCTTTCTATTTACTCTCATTTGTACTGTCCTGTCTGATGTCCTGGTGATGTGGACATCTAAGAATGACAAAAGTTGTTACTTTCAAGTTCTGTGGTGTACACTAAGTTGTTATTTGCAGCACTGATGTGGGCTATCAGATCTTCGATGCATACTCGACCATCCGCAACACAAAATATGTCATCTACGTATCGACCGTAGTTAACCAAGTTGTTGATACAATCGTTTAACTGAGTATTCGCTAACTTACTCGTGAAGACGTCGGCGAGTAGCGGTCATAATGGTGAACCCATAGCTACCCCGTCTATTTGTCTGTAAAATGTCTCATTGAACTGAAGCTGAATGTTCTTAGTGCACGCCAATATCAGCTGCCTTACACAATCATTTGGAATACCGATGTTGATGCTGTGCAATTGGATAAACTCGCAGAGATATTCAATGGTCTCTTCTAACGGGACGTTGGTGAAAGATGACTCCACATATAGTGAGAACATCCCGTCCAGCGAGATTGAGTTGTTGCACCGAGTCAAGAAATTCGAAAGTGTCCCGGAGGCTGTACCTAGATTTGGCTTTCCTGACCGGCTCGAGGCGTTTGACAAGCCACTTAGCAGTCAGATGATAGAGAGAGTTGTACATGTCTAGTATTGGTCACAACGGTTCACATTGCTTGTGGATCTTGGGTAAGTGATAAAGTCTCGGAATCACGGTTCCACTAGGTCTGGCGTATTCAAAAGTGTCAGAGTCTATGATGTTATTTTGTTTCAAACGCCGCAAAAGTGTTGTTATGGTCTTCTCAATTGCCGGCGTCCTGTCTTTCTCGTTTTGCACTTTTCGGAATTTCGATGTGTCTCTTAGTATGTTGTTCATCTTCTCAATGTAATCTGAGTTGTTCATCATTACAATCTCGGCTCCTTTGTCCGGTCTAGATAAGGAAACATTCTCGTTTTTCTTGAATTCTTCAGAGCGTCCAATTGCCTATTCTTTAGAAGATATTTGATGGTCGGTTTGTACCTCAGGTACTGGTAGCATGTGTTTACCAATGTGGATTTGTACTGTCCAGTTGCTAATTCTGACGATGGTGTTAATGTAGAAAATGGAGAATAGAGATTTTCAAACTGGATTTCCAAGTCAGACTGTTGTACATTACCTCGGGGGTAA